GCAGGAGAGAGGGAGGGACAAAGCCGGGGAAGGGGACAAAGGAGGGGAAACTGGGGACATCTGTAATAGTGTCAACAATAAAAAATACAAATAAAAAATAAATACAGAGATTAGGAAGGTTTCGCTACATAGGTGATTTCTGAACAAAGGCTTCAAGGAAGAAGCAAGCCACTGATAATTGGGGTCAGAGGCCAGGGCTTAGCAAAGCAAATGCCTGAGGAAGGAGTGTATCTGTTTAGTCCAAAGACCAGCAAGAATCCAACACAGACCTAATGGAAAGGATGAGAAGGATAGTGGGTGAAAGCTTGGTCAGAGTGAGCAGAGGAAGAACAGGGAGAGAGGATTTAGAAACGGAGCCAAGCCAATTCTTGAGGAACAGAGAAATCAGGAGTAGCCAAGAGAAAGGAATAACCAAGACAGGGTTTTCTTTGTTTGCTTCTTTCAGGTAAGAGAAGAAAGAGGATGCTTATGTCCTGGTAGTGATGCTCCAGGAGAGAAGGGCATTGAGGAGTGAGTGGCACTGCGAGGAGAGGATGAGGACCTGAGCACAGGTCGGGGCTGCAGACAGAAGCAGACAATTCACCTATAGAAAAAGGAGAAAAGGCGAAGTGGATGGGTGCAGATGCTTTTAGGTGGGGGCCTATGGTGGTGGGAGGCTGTGAAAATTTTCTGACGGATTTCCTTTTCTCTGTGAAATAGGATGCAAGGTCATTGGCTGAGAACAAGTCTGGGAGCAGGTGCTAGAGAACCTGCCTTAAGAATATTTTTCAACTGCATCCTACTTGTCTATATGCACTGTACTTGGTATTTATGCTTAACACATGGAAATATCTTATGTACATACTCTTACCAAAGCAGTATTACTCATTTTCAGTTAGAATTAGCTTGGAAAGTAAAATGCACGAGTAATGAATTTTGAAATATAAATTAATACAGAGTAAAAACCTCCTCTGCTCCCATTTGTATTACAAATTTATTCTCTCAAAATTAGTTCATGTTCTGAATGTCACTGAGAAATTTAGTGGATCACAGATGTGCACCCAGAAGTGGGTTTCCAACCATAATTTAATTGAAAGGGTCATAACTAAGTTTCACCATATGGGGCTGCCAGATGTAATCAATGCAATGTAAGTTTGAAGAAGACATTATTGAGTGTGTCAAAGCACATTTTATAAGCAATAAGAGCTATTATTTATGCAACAGAAATCACTCTAATGTATTATGAAATTAGAACATCAGTAGAATATACAAATGTTTCAGGGTTTAATATAGAAAGAGTAATTCTGGTTGAATGATAACATACTATTTAAAGATGTACTTGAGTCTCATAATAAAGGTATTTATTATTCATCACTCCTTCACCCTCTACATCAATAAAATCTTTAAGGCTAATATAGCTTAAAGTTTTAACACAAATATAGTTGAAGATACATTTGAAAACTCATACCGTGGGGAATTTAGTTTTATTAACAAAGAATGTGGGCAAATTTCTCAGCCATAGAGTAGAGAGGCCTGTAAGTTTTTAACCTGGGGCCAATTAATGGTTTAACACACCGAAACTGCCATCACCGAACTTTTGGCTTGTTACCTGGACTCTTCAAGTCTCAAAGCTGTTGAAATTCAGTGGTGGTCTTGCAATGGATAAACTTCATAACAAAACCAGTGATCCCAGAAGTCCATTATTCGAATGCCTGAAGCCAGGCTCAAAACAAAAGATCACACCTGAATAAACCATGTAAGAGGCACTGTTTACTCCCCATCTAGGTCAGGTTGAAAAGGGCTCTTGTACAAGCAAAACTGCACATCAGGAGTAGCTGTGGTGCTGGTATTGAATCTTGCTCAAGTACAGAGGTATATATTCCATGTGTCACCAAACAACGTGAACTCCAAAACAAGATCTGAGATTACCACCCCAGACAGAATAATCATCTGGTCTTACTATGATGGTAACTGATTCACTGAATTGTGAGGAATGAATCTTAAGTGTTAATGCCTTAAATCCCCATGATGTGGAACTCATCTGCCTCACATATTCTGGACACACATGAAACCATGAAGGAAAGGCCAATCAATATCTTGAATTATGTAAACTTTGGCCAGATTAGAAAAATTCAGGAGAGCTATTCCACTAAATAATCCATAGAGTTTCAGCAGGTTAAGACCATACACACACACAGATTTGGAGCCAGGCTACCAGAACTAAGAAAACTCCTGCTGGCAGCTCATGAATTTAAGCTGAAGCGGTATGTTCAAGTCAGGGACACAGTGTGAGTATTCGAGGCCACCTGTATTCTCTGCTCAGTGGCCTTCCACTATCCTGTGCCTGGACAGCATGTGGTTGGTGCTCAGAGTTCCAAAGCCAGGCAGGCACATCTTCTCCTGACATTAGTTACCAGCCAGAGGCTGGCACTTCTCCTACCAGAACCACTGAACTGCGTATGGTGAGATCCAACTGACGGCACCACACAGAGAAGTGATGTGAGCAGCCTGCTGAACCACAAAGACACAGGCAGCAAGACTAATTTAAACTTGCTAGTGAAGCAGAATTTAAGTAGATTCTAAAACAATCTCCAAAGCATAGTGAATGTAAGGACATTAACATGTACTTTTAAAGAGCAGCCTGTAAGTGGTGTTTCCCTGATAGATAGGCATTAAGTGTTTACAGAGAAATAGTAAGAGGGGACCTCAAGGGTGCTGGGCTTCAAGGCCAATTCTGTTGTACTCTAGCTACCATTTTTAGAGACTGAGTTAGCACCACCACTATTTAGAATGAAATTCCCAGCCTTTGTCACCTGATTACTTCTGTTACTCTTTCAAAACTCACCTCATTGAAGAGTATCCCGCAAAAGTCATTTCCATTTGTGTGTGAATGGTTCTCAGTGCAATGTCTTGCCTAGAAGATTCTAAATAAATATTTGTCACAAAAATAAAAAAAACAGAGAGAAGTAGCTACAATTATGGAATACAAATGAAAACTAGATTAAGAATGGGAAAACCTGAACTTGAGTTCCAACTCCATCCCTCACTAAATGACAAATCTTCTGTTAGAATTCTGGTTCCAAGTCTATGAAATGGGAATAATAATACCTTCTCCATCCTCCTGGTGAATAAGTCAGGAGAATGCAGGGGCCGTAGGAACCTCATACCTGGCCTCACAATGCCTTGGGCAAATCTATTGGGCATCTATTTCCAGGGTCAAATGTGGATCATAAAAACTTTGCTATATCTTCTTAGCCTTCTTTTATCAAGGGCCACTCAAATATCAGAATGGTTTATGGCCTTTTAATTTATTTTAAAAAATATTTTAAGTTTTAATTCTGAAATAATTTTAGACTTACAAAAAGGATAAAAAATGTGTGCTATTCACCCTTCATCTGGTTTCCCTGAGTGTTAACATCTTAACTACACCTGATGCAGAATTATAAACATCAATATATTAACAGTGATATAGTAGTACTAACTGATCTATAGGCCTTATTCAAATTTTTCCAGTTATCCCACTAATGCCCCCTTCTGGTCCTGCATTCTATCCGGGGTCCCACATTGCATTTAGTTGTCATGTCTCCTTAATCTCCTAGAATGTTAAAAAAATATATCTGTGGGTAGATACATTAAGACTATGCAAATATCCTATTTCTCATTATAATTCTGGCTACTAATTTTAATATCCCTTGATATTAAAGGGATATCCCTTGATATCCCTTCTCACCTGCAACAATTACCATCATGTTTACTGAATAGTGATTCTTTCATCATTCTTTCTATATTCATCAATTGGAATTCTGCTGTAAGAAAGAGCTATCCTTTCTCTCTTTTATCTATATATGAAAATTATTAGTTTGTATGAGCATGAACTCATAGGTATTTATTTTATGAGTTATCATCTGTTGTTCTGATTATTTTATTTTTCAAATTGTCCTAGATTTGCTATGACCTTTTTAGATGGTTCAACTCACATAGATCAATGCCTTGCTAAAAAAAATCAATCCTCCCTTCCCACTACCCTGGCCCACAAGAAATGCCTGTTTGGATGTGTGGCATGTGAGAAAAAATTAAAATGTACAGCTGAGAAGAAAAACATGTCTGGGGGATCAAGGGCACAGGACACTGGATCCGGACACCAGCAGCTCCGAATGAAGACAAAAGACCTATAAGGAGACAGAGGGCAGGATACTGAATACCCCAGGCATTTACACTCTGGCTGGAGATTTGGCCATCTGGCGACTGGCAAGAGTATTTAGGGATCTCTATATTCCTAGTTAATTTGAATATACAGAGGCCAGTGAGAAGTATGAGATCAATAACTATGTTGTGTGTGTGTGTGAGAGAGAGGGAGGGAGGGAGGGAGGGAGAGGGATAGATATCATTAGCGTTTAGGCTACTTTAATGAGCGAGAACTTCTGAAAACACACAACATCAATCTTGAGTATGATTTGTATAACACATATCCCTGTGCAACAGACAGATGATCATGTTTGTTCATCAAATCACTTATGAATTCATCACACAGACTCATACTTTGAATGTTTAATATATCCCTAGCACTGTGCAAATACCACGGCTGTGAGCAACAATTAAACACTGTCTTTAGTGATCTTGCAGTATGGTAGGACAGAGCTCTTTTCAAACAGCTGGAATGTTGTAGGTGGTCTTAGAATGTGTCCTGGGCTTCATCAGTAAAGGACTGCAGGGTGGCCTTTGATCTCTAAGATTATTTCCAACGCTAAAGTCATTTGATAATGATTTACTAACTTGACTACTTAAAAATCACTGTTTAATGTGTCATTCTCTCCAACTATTCTAATCAGTAACAGATGCACTTTTCTCTTTAATAAATCTCTTTGTAGCTGCTTAAATATTGAATCTCACAGAGGTGATTCCCTACAGGTAGAAAAGCTCATTTACATACAGTCACCAAATCTGTTTTTCACACAGTGTCTTAGGCTCATGACATAATGAAGAGTCAGCTGAGATTCAGAATACATTATTATTATTTTTTATCTTGTATCTCCCCAGGAAAACAGAGCACTATTGAGTGTCTATTACATCCTGTGGTGAACTTCAATTTTAGGTCAGAGCATTAAGAGCTCCTGGTTTTGGTTCCATATAATCTCTTTGAAATGACCTATCAGAATACATTTTATTTAAAGTCTGAGGCGGAGAGTCAGTTGCATATTATAGTTACTTAAGTTTTTTTTTTGTCTTCTTTTGATTAATGGAAATCAAGTAGCTAATCTAAATAATTGTAGTGGTAGATAATTGCTTTCACTGCTATGAAGTCCATATTAATGACAAGGGGAATGTGCTTGCATCCACAGCTCTCAAAAGAACGATGCCTTATCTTATGACTGATGGGCAGATATTCTTATCTGGAAGTTTAATTAAGAGGATAATTTTAGAAAATCAGTAATACCTATTTATTTTAATAGCTAATAGTATAGGCTTTAGGTTTATTAACCTAAAGCCTAAATTATTTCATTACTACTAGAATCTCAGAAAATGATAAAGAAGTGAAAAACATATAAAAACCAAGTATTAAAAAAGACTTTTTATGCTATATGAAATTCACATTTTATACCTCCTGTAATTTCAAGTATGAATGGCCGGTGACATGGGTCTACATTGTATAAGGTTCCTGTACTAACCAAAGGCTGCTTCTACTTACCTCTTTCCTAACCCCTTCACCTAAAATAACAGATCTTTTTACTGAGCATAGCTATACCACAATGGGCTTGTTCAAAGGAGTCTCGGATTATTCTGTTCTTTTTTTAAAACAAGAACTGATTTTTCACTTGTACATTTATTTTAAAACATTGAATCTCCCAAGTAGATTCTTCAGTAGGAATTGCTTCCAAACTCTCATCCTGAACTATACCGTGGATTAAAATGTATCACTTCTCCTTTACAGATAAACTTACGCTAGATGTGGAGTTACATGTGTAACACTTATACTGAGAGACAAGACCCAGTGACCTGTCAACAGGAGAGTTGAAAGACTAAAGAAAAAGCCAAGAATCAGATTTTGTTAAATGACTATGTTTTGGAAATAGCAGTTCAGACAACAGAACGGCTCCCTGAGCTGCCTGGGGAATACAGGGAAGAGTTATCAAAGACGTGTGTAAACAGCAGGAAAGGAAGAAAGGAATTCAGGGTGACCAGTCTGGTGGTCAGTGGTGATGGGAATTGCGTCGGCAAGCAGCTACTGCCTGAACTCCATGCTGGGCCTGCAGACCTGCAATGACAGACTAAGAGATCCTGAAGTGGAAGAAAACTGAGCACTGCAGTTGATCAGATCTGGGAGCACTACAGAGGGGCAGCTTGAAAATCATTTACGCCACAACCAACCAAATAATGAGGGTGTGTCCTGTTACCTGCCCTTCTCGAATATTGCTCTACCAGAAGTACGTAGTTTTACTTCTTTTTAAAAAAATATTATATTTAGTTATTGTTAGAGAAAGGGGAAGAGAGGGAGAAAGAGAGGGGAAAAAACCATTGATGTGAGAGAGAAGCATTGATTGGTTACCTTTGGTTTGCTCCCAACTAGGGCCTGGGCCTGTAACCCAGGCCTGTGCCCTGAGTGGGAATTGAACCAGTAACCTTTGACTCTGTGGGATGATGCCCAACACACTGAGCCATGGTGGCCAGTGCAGTAATTTACTTCTAACAGGTTACTTTGGTTAGTGACAATCTCAGTGTGTCCTGAAGATGCCTAAATTCAGAATTTGTAGCATGGATTTCCTTAAGGCCAGGTCATAAACCTTAATATTAGTCTATGTTGACATTTAAAATATTCAAAATGGGCAGTGTCCATGTAGTATAGAAGACAGAGCTTCATGCTAGAAACGGCAACTTATGAGAAAACATATGCCCCATAGATGCAAGGCACTTAGAATTACTTAAACATTTCAATGGCATACATGATCCAAATGCTTGTAAACATTTTACAATTATGGACCAGTAGAGGGCTTTAAGAGGCACTTTCATCTATTTCAATTGCTGAATTTGTGTCTCTGTAGCCCAAGGTCTGGCTGTAATGTGTGGTTCTATCGGCTGATAGATTCTCACTTCTCCTATTTCTGGGATTTGTGGACATCCTGTGGTGATTCTAACCCTCATCCCTTTCTCCCTTCTGGATTTCATGCCTAATTAACTGGTATAAAAATGACTGCAGAGCTCAGAAATTCTTAAACTGAGATAAAACAAAGGTAAATGCGGCATAACTGAGTCTCTCCCAACCACAGTCATTAGGAGTAGAAATATTTCCCTTGCAAAAATAGCTTGAAGCAAGATTAATACTTGATTTTGGAAAGCAAGAAATCTATTCTTCCCTCCTTTTTTCTTTCTTTTTTAATTTTGGGCTAGCAACTGTATTTAGAATTAAATGCAAAGTAATATACCTAGAGGAACACTCTACAAGCACAAATTAAGATATTTCTTACCAATACAAAGACAGCAGCATCACTGTATAATCATTGCAGTTTTATTCATATACATATGTATGTATGTACATATGTATGTGTATATATTTGTGTAACAACATTGACAGTCCCCTGAAATAGAGCCAACAATATTTGTTGGTTATTATTCCAGCAACAGCGGTTCTATGGAAGATTTACACAGGTTTCTTAACCTTTGCCTCAGCACACCTGAGAAATATATTTAAATATAGCCATTCTGGAGATCCCTATTGGTGGAGAAAGAGCAAAGTGCCCTGGGTCCTATCGAGACTCTTGGTCTTTGGGTGCAACACAAACTGAATGAGGGAAGAAGAAGAAAAGGCCCTGAATCCATGCAGGGTTAATTTATTTGAAAAGGAAATAATTGAAAAATACTCAATGGGCCAAAGTCTTGTGACGAAAATGAAGAAAACCGCACAGCATGCCAAAGTCCACGGAAGACCACCTTTCAGAAGAGGTATGACGGGCAGGAGGGAGTCCTCCACCTTCCACAGAAGGTGTAAGCCAGGAGGCAGAAGGGACCTCAGAGGTGGGCGGACTCGGCCCATCCAGGGATATAGGAGGACTCTCACTAGGCATTTGGACCCTGAAGATGTTTGCTAAGAGGAGTAGATGAGTTGGAAGGGTTTAGGGAAGAATAAGAAACAAGTTTTATGAATACAAAGCGAAGACATTCATCCAGACATCTTTAACCTGTCTGCTTTAGCAATGAATTTTGTTGGGGGAGGGGCTGATAATAAACTCTGGCCCCTGCTTTCTTTCTGTTAGCATTTTCTTTGTTTTATTTTTGATTATCTGATAAAATTTTGTTACAGTTTCCTTATTACCAGCATCTTAGTGGATGTTTGTATTTTGGCCCATTCTCCAGGTCTATTTTTCCGTAGGGAAGTTTCACACATATGCATGAAATATGTGCATTCCATATTATAAAGCAAAACATGACAAGTTATAAAGCAGCGTATTTAGTATCAGCTCACATATGTAGGATAAAATCCCAAGTTGTGTGTATACATGGGTATGTGTACACATACATGCATCAGACAGTGCTTATTTCTGTGTGGTGTCAGTTTTCTTTTTCCTTATATGTATTTTTTAATCAACAGAATTATTTTTTTAAATGAGTAAGAGTCAAACTTTGCAACCAGCTTATAAAGGCAACGGGGCACCTAAAAACTCTTGGTGAAATAACTATTAAAATGTAAACCTTAAATCACCTTTGGATCTCTTAGCCAGAAGAATAAAGCTGGCAATATTACAGATAAAAAATACATACTAATAAACAGCCACTCTGTAGTAGGCAGTGGAGGTGAGGAACAAATTTGGGTAGTTTATAAAAGCCTGCAGAGGTATTCTAACACAACTACCTCACTGTGCCCCACCCCCACCTCCTTCTCCATCTTCATGGGGCCCAGGGCTTTTGAGAATCACTGGTGTAAAAAATAAATAAATAAATCAGCCCTGGCTGGTGTAGCTCAGTGGAGTGAGCACTGGCTGCAAACTGAAGGGTCACCAGTTTGATTTCCAGCCAGCCCGCTTGCCTGGTTGTGCTCCAGATCCCTAGTGGGGGATGTGCAAGAGGCAACCCCACATTGATATTTCTCTCCCTCTTGTTTCTGCATCCTTCACCTCTTTCTAAAAATAAATAAATAAAAATCAGAATTACATTTTGAAAGCCATATGGTTTCCAGCATTTATCGAGTACCTGCTATGACTAAGCACTTTCTATGTTTTCTTCTATCAAACCCCTCAGTGTCACAAGAAAGGAACTTTCCAAAAGAGGAAACAGAAGCTCACTCACTCAATAAGTGTAATATTTATTAAGCATCTACTATATACCAGGCACTTTTCTAGGCACTAGTGATACAGCAATGAACAGAAGAAACAAAGTACCTGTTTTCAAAAGCTTACAATCTAAGGGCTCAGAAAGTCATCTCACTCAAAAGGAAGACGACATTTGAGACCAGCCTCTGCTCCATGTGCTATATACCCCACTCTCAGAAGCCCCTCAGCATCACAGCCTTTTCCAACACTCTGGGTTTCTTCAAGTCCAACATACAAGACAGACTGTTTTTCACTTGAGGCAGATAGCATCCAGTAGGTACCGGGGCCCTGGACACAGAGTGATGAGCACAGCTGACAGGAGCCCTGCCTTGCAGAGCTTAATTAGCATAATAAACACATGAGTATCTAATTGCAAACTATGTTTAAATGCAATGAAGAAAACATAATAATGTGCTATATGAAAGAATCACAGGGGCTGACTTGAAACTGGGGAGCGGATCGGGGAATACTTGTTTGAGCAAGTGTTATTTACGCTGAGAGCTGAAGGATGAGTTGAGGAGGGAAGCAGTGTTTCAGACACAGGGCAAAATGAAGACCCAAGGGCAGGAAGGAGACTTAAGAACAGGAGGGGCTGAAAGAAATCAGTGGACAGAAGGGAAAGGGGAGGCTGGGTTAAGTAGACACGGGCAGCTCATACAGGGTTTGGGAGGAAGCAAGGATGTCGCATATTCTCCTAAACGCAGGACATTTAACAAGCTGTTTACAGAATGCGTTACAGGGAATCTAGAGTAGCAGCAGCCTAAGGACAAATTGGGTGGTTATTGCAACCACCTATTTGAAAGGAGACAGTGGCTGGACTAAGGCGGCTGCAATGGAGACAGAAAAGGA